GATACTAATATGAAAGTAGATGCATTCTAGCTCTAGGAATTTTAAATTTGGAAGTGTCATACTGTCATTAGAATAAACCTTTTTTGTTCGATATTTGCCAATCTTATTTCCTACATTTCTGCTAAGGGGATTGTGTAGAGTACAGTTTTTGCTTTTCAATAAGACTAATGGATATAATTTTCAACAGGTTGATGATGCTAATCTTGTTGTCCAAGATTCCATGGGAAATGTGATTGAGGCACAATATATTGCATTGGATAATGTTACGATCAACTTAAGAAACTTCTATACAAAGGCCTATTTGGGAATGTCACCTAATCAAGTTCCGAAGTATTGGCTTTTCTTTGAAGTACTTGTCCCGCCTCTTGGATGGAATACCTACTTTGTTTCTAAAATGGCTGGAAATGGTACTTGCCTAAAATTATTTCCCTGTAGACCATAATTGTTATTGTATTTCTTATTTCTATGGGATTTTTTTGTGCTAAAACAGCCTCATACTAGTGGGGATCTTCTGCTGCTCATCTGCCTTTTGGGAAAAACGAAAAAGAACATAGGAACTGGGGGACCATAAATTGGAACCCATCTCATTATCTTGGACTGTTTAACGTTTGCTTATTGTTTCTCCAAATGATACAGGAAAAACCAGAAGAGGGTATATCTCTGTGGTGGACCTTCCTCAGAATGAGACTGTTGAAGTTGGACCAGGAAACTTGAAGATGTCCTTTTTGTTAACATCTGGGCAACTTAAACGCATGTCCAATCCTAAAACAGGGGTAAGTTGCTTCATATTCTTGATTCAAGACGGTAACAATGATTAGCATCGACACATTGGTTTTACAATTGATATGGCGAACCAACATAATGTTTTTGTCATTTGAAATAAAAGACGTAGTTGAGATTAAGACTAAACGGATAAATCAGAAAATTATTGGCAGATTTACCTGGTGTAGTCCAACTTTGATAGAGATCTATTTTTCATATAAACCCATTTGTTGAATTTTCCCCTGGTTTGAAAAGGAATGGAGGTGGACCTAATCAGGCCACCGGAATCGTTGACCTGGGCAATGGTGGTGGCAGTCATTCTTGGCAAGGTGGTTCACCAGTTTTGTATTTTGTTGAATAACTTACCTTCTCTAACTCTTTCTTTTTGGAAGGGGGATTATTCTTGCCTGGCATTTTTCTCAAGAATTACAATTCTTAACACTATTTTCGTTCATTCTTTAGATAAAGTCTCCTGAAAATTATATTTTATTGATACAAGATGGTTTACTCTGTAAATAACAACCCAGTCCGGACTCTTAAACTGCCAGTCTATTACCTTGATATTTTTGCATGCCAAAAATTACAAAGAAAAAGCAGAACTCTTAGGAAATGAATAATTTACAACCATGGTTCATGACACAAGCCTTTCCTGTGGCCAAGTGGCCTCTTTAGAAGTTGGCCTCGAATGAAAACAGGTTGGTGTCAGGGAAGGGGAAGTTTATCAGAATATAATATTAGGATGATATCACATTCCCAATTAATAGTCCTAAGCTAACTTTAGGTGCCAAATTCCATTCTGCTTCGTTCTGTTAACGTGGATATTTTGTTAAGGCTATACAGCCAAACTGTGTTGCATCTTCAAGTGATTTGTGTGATTTCACTAGGTTGATCTTCCCATACAGCAAAGCTATCTCTGGTATGGTTCTAGCAGTGGAGATGTGGATCCCCAGGTACATGATTGGGATACTTAGACAAAGGTCATCCGTAGTGGGATATTCCTCAAATCCTAGTTGCCAGTTTTATGATTACTTCTATGTGCTGTCAATTTTTGTTAGAATTTACGAATTACGAGGACTTGTTATTGATATAATCTCCTGCAGTCTTCTGGCGCATACATTTTCCGCCCTAATGGTGCACCTCCTGTTATTGTTTCAAGATCGGTAAGTGGTTCTTCTTGTTCTCATAAATACCTCTAACTTGGCAAAGCATTTTACATTAACTTTAGGGATCCAGTTAGATGAATGTCTTTTAACCACTTTATTTTTTCAGGCCATCCTCTTCTGTTATATCAAGCTATTCAGTCCTTCGGACAGCCTATTGAATGCCAAAGCCATATCATTATGTTATTTTGCTACTGATCTATTTTTTCCCCTTTTTTAAGAAATTAAATTAGTTGTTTTCCTTACAGGTCCCCTTAAAGATCGTGCGTGGTCCTTTAGTTGACGAAGTTCACCAGCAATTTAGCTCATGGATCTATCAGGTTCTTTTTTGTCCTTTTTTCTGGGGGTGGGGTGTTTTTTTGAGGGGGATAGGGGGAGGTTGATCTATGTAACAAGCTCGGCATGTTAAAGACCCATGCCCTTGTTTGAAGGGAGTGCGTAGAGTGGTATCATACAATCATCTGCTAGAGGTTGTTTCAGTTTTTAGTAATGTAAGTACAGGAGCCTGCCCTCGCAAAGCTTTAACATTTTTGGTATTGTTAATTTACTATATATTCGTTAAGCCTCCGTTTGGTAACGTTTTTTGAAAGTATTTTTTTTAAAGAAAAAAGCAAATACATGTTTGATAAACATCTTTGATCTTTGAAAAACACACACACACCCTAATAAACCAAAAAAAATACACTCACTCACACACGCACGCTAATACACGAAAAAAAAAGCACAAACACACACCCATAAATACTAATACACTAGAATACACACACACTAATGCCACAAAACACATAAGCACAATACACAAAAAAACCACAACACATTCATACACCCAAAACACACACACTAACGCACCAAAAACACACACACACTCTCTCTCTCTCACATAGACACTCTAATACACTAAAAAATACACACATACACCAATACACCAAAACACACACATACCCCACGCATACAAATAAAATAAAAAAAACACATGCATATTAATAAACTAAAACACACACACCCCCACCCAGTAATGCACCTAAACATACCTCCACATACTAATACACTAAAACACTTAAACACACATTAATACACAAAAACATACATATGCTAGCATATACCAACACACACATACTAATACACCAAAACACACATATACTAATCCACCAAAGCACACACGCATACACTCTAGAACACCACAACACACCCCCAACCCCACCCCATACATTAATATACTGAAAAACACCCACACCGATACCCACACACACTAATATATCAAAACACTTATACATACAAACATACGCTAATACCCCATCATAATACACCAAAATGCATACACACACACTTATACTAAGGATTTGTGTATTAGTGTGTATGTGTGTTTTTAGTGTATTAGTGGGCTTTGTGTTTTTTGTTGTATTGTTGTGTATGTGCTTTTTAATGTATTAGTATGTAAATTTTGGGGTGTATTAGTGTGTGTTTTTTTAGTATGTTAGCGTGTCTAGGTTTGTGTATGTGTGAGTTTTTGTGTATTAGTGTGTGTGTGTATATTATTGTGTATGTGTGTTTTTTGGTGTGTGTATATTGGTGTTGTGTATATGTATTCGTGCACTCGCATGTGTGTTTTTGGGTATGTTAGTGTGTGTTTGTTTTTTGGTATGTTAGTGTGTGTATGTTTATATATTTTGGTGTATTAGTGTAATTTTATTTTGGTGTATTAGTGGGGTGTGTGTTCTGGGGTGTATTAATGTGTGCATTTTTTTTGTATATTAGTGTGTGTGTGCATTTTGGTGTCTTAGTGAGTGTGTGTTCTTTAGTCTATCGGTGTGTGTATTTTTTGGTGTATTAGTGTATGTATGTTTTGTGTATTAATGTGTATGTCTTTTGATGTATTAATGAGTGTGTATTATTTAGTATACTAGCAATTCACCACGTGCGTTGCACGTGAATAATTTTCGTACACAAAAATTAATAAAACATATTAGATAAATGTGTATCTAAATTAAATATCATCGCAAATTCACCAAACTTAATTTTTCATTACTCATTCTATTATAAGATTATGAAAACTGAGTATATTCCCAAAATTGTTTGTTCTAGCTATAAAAAAAAGATAAAAAAATAGTTAAAGTTCTATTTATTTTAGAATATTATGATTGTGATTGATTTTTTGAAGGGTAAACCACATAAATGGCCCTTGAACTTTTCTATTTTTTTTAAATTGTACCCTGAACTTTAAATTTTTTGATTTTACCCCATAAATTATTTAAATCATTTTAATCAACACCTTCCGTTAGATTTCACCATTAAATAGGGATAAAACCCAAACTGCCATATTAAAGGTCATTTTTGACATTTCACTTATTGTGTAAGGGTTTTAGGCACCAAAATTCCCTCTCATTCCTTTTGATGCTCTGTTTTATTTGACCTTAATGCTCTGTTCTGTCCAGTTGAGAGAGAGAGAGAATCAAGCCATGGAGAGAGAGAAAATCAAGCCATGGATGGGTATTGGGTTTTAGGTATTGTGTTCTTTAAAGAAATTGGGTGTTAGGTAGTGTTGTTGGGTGTTGGGTACTGCGTTCCTTAAAGAATTTGGGTGTTAGTTGTTAGGTGTTGGGTAGTATTGGGTATTAGGGGTACTCTGTTAGGTAGTGGGGGTACTGTGTTCTCTTAATTAAATTTTACAGAACAAGTCAATGAGGGAATGGAAAATCAAGAGGCTTGAGCTTTGCATTCTGTATTATCATCTACCCAGATGGAGAATTGTGACTGGAACACTGCTTGTGATCCTGTTGGTCTGGAAAATTCATTTACAGTAAGAACCCATTTCCAGTAAGAGTTTTGATTCATTGATGTCTTATAATTACTTCTATGTTTTTTGGTATATGGTAAAGATCTCCGCTTTTGAATCAGTTCTGGTTGCACCAAGCAAGGATGTAGCTTTTGAAGCTTTGATTTCTGTTCTTATTTTTGGGTCAACTGGTGTTACTAATTTATTTAGCTGAGCCTGTAATTTTATTTAAGTTGTTTAGATTTGGTATTTTACTATTTTTCCTAGTTGATTGATTTTGCAATTATTTTGGTCCTCCTGTAAATGAAATTGAGTTAGGTACTTTTGTTTTTTGCTTTTGTTTTTTTTAAATGTTCTATAGATGTTTTGTGATTTGTTTTTATAGTTTCTTTTCTGTTCTAACATTTGGGTAGTAAACATCCATGACTTGATTTTTTTTTCTCTCAACTGGACAGAACAGAGCATTAAGGGTCAAATAAAACAGAGCATCAGGAGGAATGAGACCTAAAACCCTTACACAACAGGTGAAATGCCGAAAATGACCTTCAATATAAGCCATCTGCATTTGCCGTTTGGGTTTTATCCCTATTTAACGATGAAATCTAACGAAAGGTGTTGATTAAAATGATTTAAATAGTTTAGGGGGTAAAATCAAAAAATTTAAAGTTCAGGGGTCATTTATGTGGTTTATCCTTTTTTGTAATGTTTAAAAATTTTAATTTTTTGAAATTCATTTAATTGGAATTCCACTTGTAATTCCTTGAATAAGATAAAAAGTAATTGTCAATATACTAATCACATTAGAACCTTATTGTAATTAGGAATTAGTTAAGTCAATTAGGATAAGATTTAATATACTATTCTATAATATATATAATCAAACATATTAAAATTCTAAAAAAAATCAAATTTTACTTAAAAATACAAACTATAATATCTATTTTTACATAAAATCTTAGTATAACTTAAAAAATATATTGTGACCAAAGAATTATACTAATGTAATCTAAATTGATTTTTAAAAAACTATATATGCGATTATTTTTTATCCTAGAAATGAAAAGGATTAAACTTTTCGATACAAAAGAAAATACACATATATAGGCATAATGTTATATTTCCATATGAGATGAGTAATATTAGATTGATGAAATTTTTGAAAGCTTTTGAACATTTTATTGAAAATATAATGATGCATATTTTTTTAAGAGTAAAATAGTCAATCAAAAAGTTTTATAGAAACTGATATTTATACATAGAGAATAGATAATTAAAAAAGATGTTATAGATAATTTGGAGATTTAAATATAAGGATAAGATGATAATTTAGATATTTAATTTTGATTTATGAAAATGATAAAATTGTCTTTTCAATCCTTTATAAGGGTAAAATAGAGATTTAAAAGTTCTTCATCTTAAGATACTTTTATTAGTAGTATAGATTAGTGTGTATTTTTGTGGTGTATTAATGTGTATATTAGTGCATGTGTGTGTATTGTGGTGTATTAGTGTGTGTATTTTAGTGTATTAGTGTGTGTATTTTGGTATATTATTGGGTGTATTTTCGTATGTTAGCGTGTGTCTGTGTTTTAATGTGTTAATATATGTATTTTGTATATTAGTATGTGTGTATTTTTGGTGTATTAGTATGTGTGCGCGTTTTGGTGTGTTAGTGTGTGTATATTTTGGTATATTAGTGTATGTACATATTTTAGTGTATTTTTTGTGTATTAGTGTGTATTTTGCTTTATTAGGGTGTTTGTTTGTTTGTTTTAGTGTAGTAGTGTGTGTATGTTTCTTAGTGTATTAGTGTGTGTATTTTGGTGTGTTCGTGTGTGTGTATTTTGGTGTATTAGTGTGTGTATTCTTTGGTGTATTAGTGTTGTGTGAGTTTATGGTGTATTAGTGTGTGTTTTTTGGTTTGTTAGTATGTGTATTAGTGTTTGTGTTTTGGTGTATTAGTGTTCGTATGTATGTTTTTTGGTGTATTAGTGAGTGTATATATGTTTTTTGATATATTAGTGTGTGTTTATGTGTTTTGTGTAAAATATGTTATTTGCTTCTAATAAGGAATTTTTTTTTGCTTTTAGAAAAAAATATTTTGCTTCTTAAAAGTTCTTGTTTTGATACAAAAACAAACACTACTTTTTGCTTTTTTACTTTTTTGCTTAAAAAAACAAAAAAAGTATTTTTGAAACTTCACTTATTTTGATGAAACTTCTTCCTGGTATTATTTTCCTCTTGTTGACCTATTGACTATTTTTGAAATGATAAAATGCTAGAAGAATAATGGGTACTATATGATGGAAAAGTAAGAATGATGTATTGGAATTTTGATACCAAAGAATCACTTTGTGGAAGAGATTAGTAGTGTCCCCTACAATTTGTGCGATATTATGTAGCAAATTTTTAGAGGAGGATAGAGATGGCTTTAGGTTGCTGTTTGTTGCGTTACGATTTGTTCTGAAGGACATTTATTACATAGCCAATCATTTTTCTGGTCAGGGATCCAAAGCATGGAATGATGAGAATGAAGTGGAAAGGATTCAATCTTTTAGTTTCATTTTCTGGTTCTTCTTTAATTTATGAATTTTATTTTATGTTATTTTGTTTTTCTTTGAGGATATATTGTGCTCAATCTTGTTCCTCTTGTATTTCTTCTTCTTCTATAAAAAAAAAAAAAGGAGAAAAGTAGGGGCGTGTTATGTTTGGTTTTCAAAAACTGTTTTTTGTTCTCAAAATTGTAAAAACAAGGAAATGCTGTTTGTTTAGCTTTTTTGTTCTCCAATTTTTTAAAAATTTTGAAAAAATGAGATATGATTTTAGAGAACAACAAAATGATGTTCTCATTGTTTTCTAAGACAAAAATGAAAACAAGGGAAACAACCAATCTCTAAATTAATGAGGTCTCCCATTCGCGTTTCATTGGAGACTGTTAAGTGAGTGAATTAACATAACACAATATTAGAGAGAAAGAGAGAGATTAAAACTTAACCTAACTCTCGTACATCACTTGTATTTATAGTTAACTTATAATAATAAGAATTACACATATACCCTCTTACTATTAATAATTTACACATACTACTCTACTATTCTTAACACTCCCTCTTAAGCTGGACTATATATATCATATAATCAAAGCTTGGAATAAATAGCTGTAAGACGTGTACGACTCGGTGCTTTGGTAAACATATCTGCAAGCTGATCTTCAGATTTCACAAATGGAGTTGTAATCTCCCTAGCAACTATCTTGTCCCGAATAAAGTGACAATCAACTTTAATATGCTTGGTTCTCTCGTAAAACACAAGATTGACAGCGATATGGATAGCTGTCTGGTTGTCCCAGAACTGTAAAGAAAGTTGAACTGGAAACCCAATTTTCTAGAGGAAGTGTAGTAGCCAAGTCAACTCACTCGTCGTATGTGCCATTGCCCTATACTCAACCTCAGCACTGGATCTCGCTACCACGGGTTGTTTCTTACTTTTCCATAAGACATTACCTCCTAAGAAAGTACAATAACCAGTGGTTGATCTCTGATTAGAAGGAGAGTCAGCCCAATTAGCATCTAAGAAACCTTCCACTCTAAGATGTCCATTAGCTCGATATAACAGTCTAAGTCCAGGAGCTCGTTTGAGATATTGCAGAATACGAGTAACTGCCTTCCAATGTGGTACTCTAGGACATTCCATGAACTGACTTACTATACTGACTGCATAAGAAATATCCGGTCGAGTGACTCTCAAACAATACACCATCATCCATCAATAATTTCTGATTCAGATCCATAGGAACATCAATCGGTCTACCACCCAGCAAACCTGCATCCTCAAGCATGTCAAGTACATATTTCCTCTGAGATAAACAAATACCCTGTTTAGATCGAGTCACATCAATATCCAAGAAATACCTGAGTTTTCTCAAATCCTTAGTATGAAATCAATCCTATAAGAATATTTTTAATTTGGCAATCTCCTCAGAATCATTTCCAGTAATCACAATATCATCTACATAGACCACCAATAAGACATATCCAACATCTATCTGTCTATGAAACACAGAATGATCTGTCTGACATTGAAGAAGACCAAACTCTAAAACTGCATTTGAAAAATTACCAAACCATGCCTTCGGTGACTGCTTCAAACCATATAAATATTTTTTTAACCGACATACACTCTTACCATACGCCCCTTGAGCAGTAAACTCAGGTGGCTTCTTCATGTATACCTCTTCAACCAAGTCACCATGTAAGAAGACATTCTTGACATCTAACTGAAACAAGGGCCAATCAAGATTAGCAGCCAAAGAAATCAAGATACGAATAGAGGAAATTTTGGTAACAGGAGAAAAAGTTTCCTCATAATCAACACCATAAGTCTGAGTAAAGCCCTTTGCAACAAGTCGGGCTTTGAGACGCTCCACAGAACTATCTGGATGAAATTTAACAGTATACACCCAACGACAGTCAACAGTCCGTTTACCAGAGGGTAAAGAACGAGATCCCAAGTCCCATGATGATGTAAAACATCCATCTCCTACTCCATAGCTTTCCTCCGACTCGGATCAAATAATGTATCCTGTAAATGCTTAGGAATAGATATAGCAGATAATTGGGAAGTAAAACAGGAGAAAATAAGAGACAAGACATCATATGAAACAAAATGAGAAATGAGATGATTAGTAACACACGAACGAGTACCTTTGCGAAGAGCAATAGGTAAAAAGTCTAAATTACCTGATGTACAGGATCAGAAGGCGACACGGAAGACAGTACGGGCACCTCAGTCGATGGGCGAAGACGGCGAGAGTAGACACGGAGAGGTAAAGTAGATGGTAATACAGTGGGTAACGGAATATCTGAAGATGAGGAAAGAGATGGTGGTACAGGAGAGGATCCAAAGTCCAGATCCAAAGGTTGAGAAGGTGTCGGAAAGTATGTAACAGATTCTTCAAACGTGTCATCGGCACTAGTAAAGTATCGGTGTTGAGAAGGACTGTAGTAACCATACCTTTTCTGCGTGCGGGAGTAACCAAAAAATACACATTTGGTAGCTCGAGGGTCAAGTTTGTCGAACCCAGGACCCAAATTGTGAATATAATAGACACAACCAAAAACCTTAGAAGTCAGAAAAATAAGGGCTTACCAGGAAAAATGACAGAATATAAACTTTGCCTATTTAACACAGAGGATGACATACGATTAATAAGATGATAAGTAGTAAGAACAACATCACTCCAATAATATTGGGGAATATTCATTTGGAATAACAGGGCATGGGTGACTTCCAACAAATGACGGTT